ACTCTTTTACATTTGACTCCATTTTCCTCTCCTGCTCATACTCAGAAAAACATAAGACTGAGAGGAGACCTAGCAACATCTCTTACCAAACTGACATGTTTCCTTTAATTTCTTCAGGGAATGATTAACATCATGGACGTGTGATGCTGCTGGAAATCATAAATGGTGTGGGTTGGAGTGGATGGTAAAGATCATCCAGCTCCAGTTCTCCTGCCACAGGCAGAGACACCTTCCACAAATCAGGTTGTTCAAAGCCCCATCCAACTTGGCCTTCAACACTTTCAACTTCTACAGCTTCTCTGGGCAACCTGTGCCAATGTCCCACGCCCCCAAAAGTAAAGAATTTCCTCCCAATATCTAATCTAGACGTGCCCTTTTTCAGCTTGAAGCCATTACCCCTTGTCTTATCTCTCCAAGCCCTTGGCTAAAGACCCTCTCCAGCTCTCTTGGAGCCCTTTTCAGGCACTGGAAAGTGCTCTTAGGTCTCCCCAGAGCCTTCTCTTCTCCAGACTGAACATCCCCAGGTCTCTCAGCCTCACAGGAGAGGTGCTCCAGCCCTCTTGTTATTACATCCTTCTGATCTTCTTGAAGCATGGAGTGCTATTACCCTGGTATTTCTCCTACTCTCTTGTCTGGGTGCAACACTCAAATGAAAAAATAAAATCAATACCATAGATTTTATTTTATTTACCTCTGATAGAGATAATGATTGTAACTTGATGATCTAATTTACTAGTTGGGCTTTTCTATTGTTCATTTTATGTTAGCTTTTAAGACACTTTCATTATTTGATTTTATTTCTTTCCTCCTCCTCCAAGTTTCTCAAGGTTAGGTTTTGATTAGAATTAGGTGAGAACCTTTTCAGATAAATGTCTCATTTTGATTAAAAAACCATTATATTTTGAGAAATTTTAATGAGATTTTTAACCTTTTATTATTATTATTATTATTTATTTTTTTTAGGCCTCACATCTCACAGCACTAGTTGTGATGCCTTGACTTACTAACTTTTAGGAAATAATTTCTGGTGGAAGGCAGGACTTGATCTGAGGACCAGAATAAAAACCTGGCTTTTAATGACCAACATATCTCTGCATTTATATTTTGGCCATATTGAACTCTATATACTTCGAGCAGTTTTTCTGCAACTACTGGTCATGGATGTTTTGATTTGCAAGTCACAAAGCATCACTATTGAACTTTGACTAGATGACTGAACCACTCTAAAAAAGGAAGAAAAAAGAGACTTAATTCCCAGCGTGACTGGTTCACCAATTGTGTTCACATCTGTATTTACTACAAACCAGCATCTACACCCAGGAAAATTCCACAATAGGAATGTTTACCAAAAATCACCAAGTACCACAAAAATAAACTCAGAAGTATTTAAATAAGGCATTTTTATCCAACTCTTTTAACTAGGATCTACTGCATTCTGTTTCCCTAATGCCAACTAAATTAGTAAACACTGTGCTATCAGCAATAATCCATGTATATTAACTTGTTTCTGTATTATGCTGCTGAATTAATATTGCTTAGAATACCCCTTCCTAGTAATTAGGGTATTTTCACAGAGCACAGTTCCAGAATTGCCAAGTACCTTGATAACTTTCATGCATTTTTCTGTCACAGTACATTTAACAGCAAAATCTCAAGAAGCTGCCAGAAAAAATAATTGAAAAAACATGAAAATTGTTGATACAGTGTGGAATTGCAGTGCCTTGGGCTTGTATGCAAGTGTGGATTCTCCCAAGTCTCCACCTGATACATAATGTGTGGCTGACTCTCTGAGTGCAGTACATTTTCCTCAGTACACCACTTCCACATCCCCAGATTATGCAGATATGTGATGATACCCAAATTACAGAAATTATTAGAGGTGTCAGTTAGAGCAGCCCATCACTAAAGCCTTCCCACCCACAAATGTGTCCTAAAAACCTTTTAATGAGGTAGAAAATTACAGATCCCTTTTTTTCAACTTTTTTTTTTTTTAATTTGTTTTTTTTGGTGGAGGTTTTTAAGACAAGAAGTCTCCAGTCACCTCTCATTTTAAAGGTTTGACTTCATCTGTTCATCTCCCACCTGATATTTCCTTTCATAGAGTGACATTACACCTCTTTCATCCCAAGTGTGGATGTCAGGGCATCACTTAGAGCTGCAGGTGGAAGAATGAAAAGGGGGAACAGAAGAGCTTTGAGTAAAAAATATTCTATTTCCATATTAATGACTTCTCTTAATAAAACAGGATACAAGAATAGAAAGTACATGTGGGCTACAAGGAACTGAGTTGTGTCTACACAGAGTGTTTTCTCAGAGTTATGTCGTAAGCATCATCAGACTATTTTTCTTCAGGGGTTTAAATTTCTCTGGAGTGGTAGGAGGAAGAGATGTTCCACAGAGCAGCCAAAAATAAGCAGATAAAGAAGAAAACTCTCTTGGTAACAGATACAAGATCTGCAGCTGTAAAAGGCATTACAGCTTCTCTGACAGTATTTGCAGGTAGAGCCTTCTCAAGACTAAAACTAGCAAGCTCAGTGGAGTTTGCTCACAAGACTCTTGTGTGACCCAAAAGCCATTTACAAGACAACATGACAGATTAAAATGGCAATGAAAATATCAGTGAGACATCATCAACTTTGTTTTCATCAACTATTTGAATCCATGTTAAAGTCTTTAAAGTCTTCCAGGTGCACCCTCCCTGTCACAACAAGCGGTGTAACAAATGCAGCCTCAAGAATGCCTGATGCCAGAGGCCTTCATTTGTGTCTTCTGATTTTAGAGAAGTCCTAGTTTAGAGAGTACTGAAAGCAATCTGTACTAAAGCAACTCCTCAGCCATCCTTGGATATCAGAACATTTCCCTCATTCTCTGCCCATTCAGCTGTGTCCTGGTTGATCCCTTCAAAGCCATTTGATTTAGATAAAGCACCAGGAACAGGAGAGAGTATCCCCACATTCTGCTCTAAGTTATGACTTCAGGACATTTTACTTCACTCTTTATTTCTGATCTTAAGAAAAAGTGAAATCAGTCTTCTCACTTTTCAGGCTGCTTACACTCTTCATATTTACAAGCCAAAATATATAATAATCAACAAAAAAAAACAACCAACCAAAAAAACATGGAGCACTGAGCAAGGCTTTACCCAACTTGTTCCCCAGCACTGGCTACTGAGATGGTGCTGCAGAAACCTGGATTTCAACTGTATTTCTGCACCCTCTCAGGGCCCAGTTCCCTTTTGGTTTCCTTACATGGGGAGTCAGCCGTGACATTGAGTGCAAAGGGCTTCCCTTCTGATTCAGCATTTCAGTGCTGCTGGATCCTCAAGAGCCTGGCTGCACAGAATGGAAATGCACATTAAAGCCCAGTGCTGTTCTCTGTGGTGTTCTCAATCACACATGCACAGCTGTTTTCTACTGTGGATGTACTTGAGGACACACTGTGTCCACAGAATTGCAGCTAAAAGTATTCTTTTTGTCTTGAGGTCATTATGATCATCATAAATATGCCAGAATGAGATGCAACAGTGCCTCCACAAATAGTATTATTTTCACTTTTGACAGCAGAAGTACAGCCTAGCTTACACTGAGGTGTGTTTAACAAGGGGCATTCTGCTCAAGGTGAAAATACAGGTGGCAGTTTCATGCTTTGCAAATGGCTGTAGGGAAATTAGGTGGGTGCTTGGAACATTTTTTCATCTTTTAGCTTGCTCTTTGCCTTTGAAGTTCCAAGCCTAAGTTCCCTTATTTGTTAGGTTCTAAGAGGCCTTCAAAGTTTGAGCTCCACAAAAAGAGAAAATTATAGCTTCATCATTTTTCTTATTGCAGGTGTTCATCAGCTCATTTCACAATAAACCAGAATTGTATGCAATGACAGGAAAATTCAGAAGGCTTGGAGTAATACACAGGACCTGGGGATCCAGGAACAGGGACTCTCTTTTCAGCCCTCTGAGCCCCTTCAACAATTACAATTTTGTTGGATGTCTCAAAGACAGGGTACCCAGATTTCTATGAGTTTCTGCTTTTATTAGCCCAAAGGAAAACAGAGGATGTATAGAGCTCTGTGTTTGCATCTGAAATTCTGAGATCTATTCCCTGTTAGGAGTCCTGCAGGAAAGAAATAGTGATATAAACACACATGTGACTGTCTATACAGACACTCCCACAGAAATCAGTTTAAGTTAAAAATGGAATTTAGCTTGCATTAGCTTCAGCTAACACAGGTTCTGAGAAAGGATGAAAAAGCAGAAGCAGCAAACAAAATCTCTGGTTTATCCTTTGCAGACCAAATACAAATTTAACTTTAGAAGTAAATTTGACCTAGAGCTTTTCCTTCTTTTATAAATTAAAAGAAAATATTTGACTAAACCACTCATGAATCTTTCTATGTTCAAAACCTGTGAGTTTGACATAAATTTATAGTTTAGAAGTTACCACACTGGTCTCATTTTAATCACTGGGTTCATCTCCTCCTGATTTCAAGATGACTATTTTATCAAAAGCTTCTCTTTTAAAGGCTTATTCACAGGACATAAGCCCACTTCTGCTCATGGGCAGACTAATGCCTCCATAAGGAGCTGATGAGAAGTCCTACAGATGTACACCAAAACACAAGAAAACCTTATCTTTGGTTTGGACTATACAACCATGTTTGCAGGGGAAAAAAAGCTCAGCATCTCCTTCACTTCTCAGCTTTCCTTTCCATGTAAGTCGAAGTTACACTGGTTTCTGTCTAGTGGCAGCATGCTCACTTTCAAGGATTAAACAGGTCTAACAGTATTTAAAAGCACAACACCAGCCACTAGAGGATGTCTATCCGTGGCAGGAACTCCAGTGTCCTCCAAGACTTCAGCCTTTGTCCCTTAATTGTAGCAGGATTGGACTGAACTCTTCACTCTCCCATCCTAAATCGATGCTTTCTTCAGACTACTGTTCAGCATATTTCAGTTCTGCATCACTCCTAGATCAAAGACCCAGTATCCAGGAAGAGGGTTTTGCTCTTACCAGTAGAACCTGTTTGGTGTAACTCCCTCATGAAGAAGCAGCCATCTTCTGCCAAACTCCACGGAACTGAATAACTGTGGACAAAAACAAAGAGTCATGAATCACAGTAAAACACAAAGATACCAGAGAAATTAACCTGAAAAACCCTCTACCACTTCTGAAATAGTGACTTGGACTTTTATTCATCCCAGTCCAAAAGGAGCACATCTGGGGCAGCTGAAACATGTCTGTGGTGCCTTTCATTGGCATAGAGAATACTCAGATGTGTGATATGGGACACAAGTGGTATTACCTGAGGGATCACTTTCTGGGCAAACCCAGCAACCTGCCCTGAATGAAAATTCATTGTCCTTGTACCTTCCTCAGTATTATGTCAGAAGGACTTTGCCTTTCCATCAGCAGTGCCATCCTTTAGAAGATTTGTCAATCTGGCACCAAAAAATGTTGTAACATGTCTAGACTTCCCTTGCAGCACTGGATGAGTTTAAACAGCACAAGTTACTTCTTCCAAGGAAATCCGTGATTCTCCCTCTGCTCTTGTCCTTCTCCTGCCAATGACATGACACCTTCTCCTCATCTGGTTACACAAACAATATCCAAATACATCAATCATTTCAGAAAATCTTTCCATGATAAATACCAAACCAGCCTGAGAAAGGTCAGCAAAAAGGCACGTTACAGGTATTATAAATCCTCTGATATGTCTTTGTGGAATGATACACAAATGTTACTATTACAGAACACTTACAAACAGCTGCTCTCCGTAAGTGCTGCCATCAAGGAATTCTCAGAAGGCCAGTAGAGGGAAGGATCACTTGGGTTCTGTTATTTCTTTTGATTAATTTAGCTTCAAATTGATCATGTGGAAGGATTGAGATGCAGTCAGCCCTGTGTTTTTCTTGCAGATTCATCCTGTTTCCCTTCCTTTCTTTTCCTGTTAGACTTGGTCAGTCCCCTTTTCTGGCAAGGCAGATGTTGGACATTGTTTTTTGAACTATTATCTCCCTTTTCATGATATCTCTTAAGGGATTTTACATAAAATGCTGATGATCTGAATCTTTATGTGCAAACCATGGCAAATTTTTTTGGAACATGAAGTGGAAGTGGATTGGTAGGAAAAAGAAAGATTGATGTGAGAATAACTGTGATGAAAAAATGATGATTTAGAAGCTCTGGGTTCATCAAAAAGATGATTTGAATGTATTTTAAGAATTATGAGACTGGGATGTGAAAAATCTTTGAGGCCTACTTATTTGGATATTGATTCCAAATGCAAAACCCAATATCCCTCACCTTCCCTATGGTAAAACTTGTAAGAACATGGAGAAACTAATTAAATGAGCTTTTTAGTAAACAGTAGACTGGCATGTATTAAAATTTACTTTGAAATATTAAAGCTAAAAATTCACCTCTTTCATCTCCCTTTCTCTTGAACACTGTCAAAGAAGAGAGAGGGAAGAAGACAGAGGGGACAGAAGATAACAAGAGTAAGAAGAGGGAAAAACAGTTTAGCTCTGTGGATAGAAGTGCATCCAATTTCAAACCTTCAGTGAGTCTGTTATTTTTCCTTAAGTAAAAGATTATAGATACATTTTTATTTGAAACTTCAGGAAGCCCTAATGGTAACAAAGGAAAACTTTTCTTTTTGGAAATTAAAGAAAATCTTTTGGAACATTGAACAACCGCTTTTTGAAGTGATTTAAGGTCATCTATTCAAGAACTTTACCATTACAGGAAGCATTTTCCCTCCTTCACACTCAAAATCCATTTCCAGACTGTTTTTTATAATTGCAGCAAGAAATAAAAAACATGATAACAATAAGCTATTGCTATTACCTATCATCTCTCTGATGTCAATGTTTTTCTTTTCATGGCAAAGCAGTTTCTCCTGTGCCAAGTGCTGTCTTTTGCATACAGTAATTTAAGTTTCAATAAAGCTCATATGATCCTTTAATTAAGAACAGGGAGCAATCCAAACTCAGCAAACACCTCTGTATTTCCAGACCAGGGACAATTGATGCTCCCATGGCTGCAGACATCACACTGAATCTTGTTTTCCTACTTTTGTATCTCTCGCCCTCATCCCTCTCTGGTTTCCCTGAGCACAACTTCCAGCTCTCTCTGAATTTGCTGGGGACAGTAACAGTAGCCAGAATTAATTAATTACAGGCTGCAAAAGCTTTCTCTGTGCTCGTGGAGCACCCTCCTCCACGCCTGCAGTCCCACTGCAGTGCCAGGTGCTTGACAGCCCCAGTGCCACAGCTTCCCTCTGGCTCTTCCAGCACAGCTCTTCCTCCAGAGGAGCCTTTACCTGGAGCATCTGTCAGCTTCCCCATCAGAGCAGGGGCTGTGATGCTGCACAGAGCCCAGACAGCCCAGCTTTCTCCTAATCTGTGCTCTGAGGAAGGTGTGATTCAGGCAAAAAAGTGGAGAAATGCAGGAGTTTCTAAGTCTGTTTCAAAGGTAGGAAATGGATACAGCAATACAGCAATTCTACTGTCAGGGCTGGACTCTTAAATTAGAAGCCAGTGCCCAGTGAGCTGGAGACAGCAGGTGAGAAAGGCAACAGCTCTCAAAGGGAAATGCCAGCTCCCTGGGAGCCCATATCCAAAGCTCTCATTGTCTTTGATAAGACACTTTAATAACCAGACTTTAGAAGGTTTTTCATCCTCTGCCATTATCTCAGCACCAGCTTTAGCCTTTACTGACTCACAGCAGCACAAGCAGCACTAATATATCTTTAGCAAACGGGGAATTCCCCACCTTATATATGGCCACACCCTCTCCCCCCAAAAAAAATTACAGTAAAGATTTTTTACAGATTTTTTATTCTAAGTATCATTCATTTTTAAACCTAGTTTATTCAGTCAGACTGAAAGAAAAAAAAAAAAAAAAAGTATTTGAAGGCTACGTTTTTGTCAAGTATAGGTTATGATACAGCTGGGATTAGTTTTCCCCTTTTAGCAATTGTGGTGCTTGAATGGATATTTTTTAAACCCAGCATGGCATTTTGCTCTTGCTACAAAATCCCTGTCTCTCCTGGGACTCCTTGTGAAAGCCTTGTGCATGCAGTCCCTTCAAAGAGGACATTCTGTTTTCTTTGGCAAGGACTACTGTCTGATGACAATTTGCATTATTAGGCTGAAGTTAAAGTTCTCTGCTATGCTTATTTTTCAAGCACAGATAGAAAAGTAACCTATTACAATTTTATTGTATGTTTTCATCTGAGGGCCAAGCTGACATTTCTGTTTTCACAGAGACAAAGCTGTTATGAAGTTAATAGTTATGAAGAATACAAATCTTGTATTGATCTCTCAGATTTGACCCTTGTTCATCAGGGAATAATTATCTTGCTCCTTCTCTTGTACATTTATTTTTCTGTTTAATAGGCAGATTGTGTAGCAGCCATTAAACAGTCTGGGTTTGCTTTGTTTTGCTTTTTTAAATCTTAATATTCTGTGAAGTAGAAACCTACCACTTACCTCATTTAGATAAGGAAAAAGAAATGCAAAGGAAAAGAAAAGGCTGTTCTGAGGTTACAAATATGTCCTGAGGCTGAGCAGGGATTCAAACAAACCCTTTGAATGGAGAGGCAATTCCCCAGCCCCCTCCCAGCACAACACCACTGTCTCTGGCAGTAGGGAAAGATGACATCCAAAAACTGAACTATCTTATCCTTCTTTCCTTATCTACACCAGACATGATAAGATACTCCCCTTTCTTTTTTTTTTTGTTTTACAACTTATATGAGAAGTCCAAGATCTGCTCATGCATTTCACAGGGATAATGCTCTTAAAATGCTCTGGGATAGCTAGGTAACAGCAGGATACAGTTGCCATGTATTATTATTTTTTCCTTCTAACTTCTCGCTCTTTCCAATGCCAACTTCAGACTTGACTGTTTTTTTCTTTTGCATTTCACAGTATAAAAAAACCCAACTAAATTCTATAAAATATAGAGAGAAAACATGATTTTTTTTTTCCCCAAAAATATTCCACTAAGAATAACTGGAATTTATTTGACCCACCCATTCTGCTATAATACCATCTGAAAGGTCATTATACCAGTCAAGACCTACCAGGAATGTCTTGTGCCTCCATCTTCACTTTAGTGCCTTTACAGATTGCTGCAGATACAACTGACCCTGAGTGTGCATGATGTTTTCTCATTCAGCATTTACAATAATTGGATTAAATATTTGATTCTGATGCTTGTCCACATACAGATCTTGAATCATAGAGCAGTTCCATGTGCTTCCTATGCTGTTGAGGATATTACATTTTATACAATTATTTTATCTCATGCAAGAAAAAATATGCACATAGACATTCAAAACCTGGTTAAATAAAGAGTGATTTAAATTGCATGTTGGAAGCTACATTAGGGAAATACTTTGAGAAAGATGGAAGTTCCTATCACTTTTCTTTTACTTAAGAAATTTCCTCTAAACAAGTTATAATGGAATACAGCACGAAGTCTGGGTTGACTGGGTTTACCAACTTTGGTCTAACATTCAAAAAAGAAAAAGGCTCTCTTTCTCTCACCTCTAGTTTCCATGCACTCTCAAATCATTCTCCCTGGATACAGATTAGACCAAAACAAATCAATCTACACTACATTATTGACCCAAAAAAAACCAGATGCAACTGGAAAACTAGCTCAGAACAGCTTTGAAAGCACTGGGTTTGATTCAAATTCACCTCTAATTCCTTGAAAAGGTTTCTACTAGCCAGTGCTCCTGGTACTTTCTTCACATATGCTGACTTCTTGACTCTAACCCTTCCTCGTGTTTTTGTGAGATGATTAAAACTAATGCTATTCATGCTGTTCCCCCCTCACCCCTTCACACACCATTTATTCACATACAAAAATCCTCAAAACACCAGTGCACCTTAGCCACAGATTTTAAAATGGTGAACCAGATAAATATTTTGACAGATCTTCCTTTTCCTCAAATTTCAAATTCACCAGAGAATGCAACATCCCAAAAGCAGTTTATATTTAACTAAAAATGCAACAGAGTCCAACTGGATAACAACAAAGTTTTCTGAAGATGCAACAACACAACTTCAAA